TCCCTCCCTCCCCTGGGAATGCCCCTGACCAAACTGCACAGCTTTGGTTTGCTTACTTGTTCCCAGCTCCAAGTGATTTCACTGAAACGAGGGCTGAAACTCTTCCTCAGGAAAAGGAAGAACATTTAAGTGTGTCTAAGCAATCCCTCAGATTAAATCCCTCAGCACTCCCTTTCTCTCCCTTCCTTTTGCTCATCTGCTGTCTCGCGTTTCTTCATGTGGCTCCACAGAATTCCCAGCCAAGCAGGAGATCCACATCCCTTCCTCACCCTGCACCTGCTGTGGGGGTCACAGAGCAGGAGAGAGCACATCTGGAATGCTCCAAAACTGCTCAGCTTTGCTGCTTCGAGGACTTTCACACCCAGGGAACTGAGCGGTGGCAGATGTAAACACCGCATTTGATACAAATCTGATAAAGATTTGATTTGGCTGCCAGAGCTAGAGCTGGCTCCACACACACACACAGACACACGAAGCTGCTGCCAGCTGCCATTTCAGCAGCTCTGGGACACGAACACCACCCACACCTCCCACCTCTTTATCCCGGAGTCCCCCCAGCACTCCCAGAGAGCCGCTGGGAGCTGGAGCTCTCCCTGCTGCCCCTGCCTGGCCAGCCCTGCCTCCAGCTCCGGCCCTGCACCTCTCACCTCCTGCGAAAGAGGAGCCGCATCCTGCTAGCTGCTCCCGGCTCTGCTGACTCCACAACCCACATCGGGAAACGCCACAAAAAATCGCGCTGAAAGCGCTGGGTGGGCGTCGGCGCCGCATTCAGCCAGCCGAATGGAAGCAGCACACTCCTTTCGCGCCGCCATTTTCCTCCACCCAAGGCGCATGCGCATAATGCCGCCATCTTTGGAAGGACACGAGAGGCGTGCCAAGCCGCCATCTTTGGTGTGGCACCACAAGACTTCCGCCCCTTGTCGCCATCTTGGGTGCTGGCAGAAGCCATTTCCGGCTGAGGTGCCATCTTTGGTGTGGTACAATTAAGACCCCTCTCCACTCGTCACAAAGGCGTCTGTCTTCTCGGCTGCCTGAAATTCCCCCTCCCCCCAACGGCTCCGACGCCGATCCCGTGCTTCCAGCGGGATTTTTCGCGGCGTTTCCCGGTGTGGGGACACGTGTGGTGGCGTCAACGGCTCCGGGGGGTTGGCGAGTGCCGCGCGACCGGCAGCGGGCAGCGACAGGGACGCCACTTCGAGTGTGGCTCCACCCCAGCCGGCCATCTGTAGTGTCCTGTCACTTCCGCCATCTTGGGAGTGGCGAACCGCGGCTTCCCTTTCGCGCCGCCATGTTGAGAGTGGTACACGGGCAGCTCTGTCCAGACCGTGCCCGCACGGTGTCCCCGGCCCGTGTCGCGGTGCACGACCGGAGCCACGGCTGTCATTGTTCTCGGTCACCGCCCCCACGGCGGCCGCTCCTTTCGTCGCCATGACCCCGATCATGGCCGTGACTGTTTGCACTCCTAACTCTCCTTCACCCCTCCCGTCCAGTTACAGCCATCGCCTGGCTCGGTCCCGGCTCGGCAGGCACGGGGGCCGCCGGTGTCCCGTGTGACCCAGCAGGGGACAGCGGGGACAGCGGGGACAGCCGGCAGTGCCGCTCTCTGTCACCAGGTAGCAGCAGCACCGCGCAGCTCAGCCCAGGCTGCGACAGGTCGGGGCGGGGAGAGAACGGAGAGAAAAGTTGGGATAGAGCCCTTCTTATTTCCATCACCCCCATCATCTTTTCTTGTGCTTTCAGGCACTTGATTGTTTGATTCATATATAAAAACGTTATGTCATTACTTTCAAACCCTGCAGATCTCTATTCAGAGTTTCTTACATCCCCGTATATCATATAGTAGACAGGATTTATTTCGAAATGAATTGATATATAAATTAGTATTACTTGTCAATATATATAAAAATTAAAAACTTGGCAAGGTTTAGTATTCTACACACACCCTGTCCCTGTGAATTTTCTGGCAGTTTCGGGTCCCTTTGGGGAAGGGCACCCCCCTCATTCCCGCTCAGCTGCTCCTGCACGGCAGCGTGGCTCTCCCGGGGACACGGAGATGCCCCAAACGACACCAGAGCCCCCGAGTCCCACCCTCTCCCCCAGCCTTCTTCCCTCACCCCCGAAGAAGGCTGAGTCACAACGAGTCAAGCTGCCCTGCACAGCAGCTCGTTTCTTTAACAAAGCCGTTTACATCTGCACACCTCCCACAAAAAAAAAAAAAAAAAAAAAAGCTGGAATAATAAATGGTCAGGGAAAGCCTGAGCTGCCTTGGTTCAAATCAACCCAAACTCAGTCCCTGTGCTCTGAAGGGGCAAAGAAGTTTCCCCACTATGGAAAACAGGTTGTTCTCCATTATTATCTCCAAGAATTAGTGCATCACCTGCTCCTGGCTGTGTCATACAGCATTTTTATTGGTCAAGAACAAATGCATTTCAAGCGTTTTTAACTATTACTGACCAAGTATTTTTGTTTTGAAAAACAACCAAGAAAATACCATGGACAGGAGACAATTTCATTTGAACAGTCTCTGAATTTCCAGTATTTGAAAGGAAAGCTAATAGGATAAATGCAGGAATATATAGCCATTACCAATAGAATCGATAAGTTTCCCAGTATTGCTTTTGGTATTTCATAGAAAAAAAACCATTCAGCCCAAGATTTCTCATCCTTATGTTCTTTTCCTAACAAACACAATTTCACAGCAAAATAGCTCGATCTGGGTCACTTTCCCTTAATTTCCACCTGTGTCCACAGTCGCGGCAGGAGCCTGGGGAGCAGCAGAATCGCTTTGGGACGTGGCTGAGTTCAGTGGTTTAAGTCAGGCCAGTCCCTCTGCCAGTTCACGTGCAGCAGCTTCGGCCTCTCCTTCCCAGCAGTGACTCCTCCCCTGCTCTGTGAAGCTGCAACTCCAGCAGAGACACAAGGATCCACTCAGTGCTATGCTGGGAAGGATGAGACCATGGAGAAGGATGATAATGTTCACCCTTAAGGTTAAAAGTAAGGAAAAAAACCGTGAGGAAACAACAAAAAGTCCAATTTGACTTAGCTCCTGCAGGTGGCATTTAATGGTTCTGCAGTGTGTACTTCCCCTGAGTCCTCATAGGACTGTTAATTTCTCCATTAAGCCTATTTTGTTATTAAGATTTAGGGATTTATTACATCCAGCTTTAGTTCCTGTAACCTTCCCAGTTACTCCTCTGTTTAAAAAAGGGGGGGGGGGGCAATAAATAAAGAGAGACCAATTCAACTATAACCTTTTCCTTGCTTTTCAGTATTTCCTAACATCAAGCACCTCACACTGGAGAAGAAAGAATAGCTTGTTTCTACACATCCAAATTCCTTCAAGTTTTAGTATCATCTATTTCCTGGCATTATGAGAAGTGTTTTGCACAGCACAATGAATAAAATGGTCTAATTTTCAGAAGACACAATTGCACGAGAACAGACAGCAAAACTGCCTCGAGAGGCAATTTGGGAACACATTTCCCTTTTTGCACTCTGAGCCGTCTTTTGTGTCACACCTGAGATTCTTGAGGTTTTAGTACTCAGCCCCAGTCCTTCCCTCTCCTGTCAGTGCTGCTGTCACATGAAAAGAGAGGCATTTTCACTGGATATCAGCCTTAACACCACAAGAAGTGGTTCAGCAGGCAAGAAACCTGCCTGCTGCTTCCACAGCTGCTCAGGCCAAGGAGCTCAGTGAGAGAGCTGCCACGTCCTTCCTTTGCTCAGAGCTTGTAGTGGGACAAGCAGCACAAAACCCAGCAGATCAGAGTCACCTATACACGAAACTTTCCAGTGTGAACCACTCAAAACAAAAAAGCATCCCCCAAAACCCACAGCACACAACATCCCACACTATAATTCAGAATTGTTCTGTGCAGCACTTACCCTTTACAAAATGAGGCACAGACCCGTGCCAGGGGTCTCAGGTACCCGGCAAGCTGACACCACGGGCCGTCTCTGTAAGGAAAGGCGCCTGCCCCGTGTGACACCGCTCCCGGCAGGCTGGGGAGACCCCCCTGTCCCTCTCAGCCCTCCCTGCCCTGGCTGGGGTGCAGGGTGTCCCCTGGGGTGCAGAGTGTCCCCCACACCCCCGTCTGGCTGGGACAAACCCATGGGTCATGTGTGTTCAACACCGACTGATCTCCTTCACCACTTCCTGAACCAGCAGACTGATGGATTTCAATCCTAAATTATGTTCTCTACATTCTTTCTCTGCCCTTTCTCTACAACCTTTTCCTTCAATTTTCTCTTCCAGCCCCCTAGTTCTGTCTAAAACAATGCGTCTAACCAATAATACAGATAATACATCAAGTTCAGATAAAGGCACTGAAAATGCCAGTTCGATTTTACAACTTTCTTACAAATAACAGAAGTTTCCTAAGAACTCTCCTGGAAAAGGGAAAGAGGAGAAACCATATAGACTTTCAATGCAATACTCTAAAACCAGCAAGAGATTTAGTCTTGTATATTACATGTTAAAAATCACATGCATAATTACAGAATACTTCATAGTTAAAAAAAAAATTCAAAACCCAACCCTGAAAGTTTACCTGCAATTGCTATAAAATACCTACTTTACATCTATCTCTGTCTATCTGTCTGTCCATCTATCTGTCTATCTGATGATTTTCTGTAATCTTCTTACAAGCATTTTAAGTCTGTTTTGCTTCACAGGTGCTTTTCTGCCAAAAGCATTCCCTTTTTGATCCTAAATAAAGCTTTGGAAAGCTGAGTTTCATGAGAGCTGGTACATATTTTGATTATTCTTAACTTGGAGTTTGCCTTGAAACCAAAACCAGGGGGCAAACCCAACATGGCCTTGAAGGGCCATAAGATCCAAGATATCCATTCTCCAATTCCCTCAGGATTTGTTCATTGAACCTTATCAGGGTTAATTTAGCAAATGTAAGGTTTTGGTGATTTCATGATCAAAACAACAAGAAATCTGTGAAAAATAAACTTAACTAAAGCTGGCTAAAAGTGGTCCCTGCTAATGACTAATTAAAATAACTCATTAAAAAGGAGGTAGGATTGAGTCAATACTCACAAGCCCATCTTGCCAAGATCAGAGTTCTCTGCCTACCCAGGACCCAGCAGCAGCAGGGACATTTCTCCCACTTTCCAGCAGAGATCTCCTCCTTTCACATCCAGGGAGCTGCAGTGACTCAGGGAACACCAGCTTAGACCTGGGCTGGGAACAAGAGAGGGACAAGAAATATGACTTGGGAGAAAGCACTTCCCACACCACTCTTGGAATTTTTTCCCCTGTCCCTTCCAGGTTTGGAAGGTTTCTGTGGGAGCCTGATTTATTTGTACAGTTCAGAAGCTGCACATCCCTGTAGCATTCCCTTGGGAACATGAAGCTTGCCTCATGCATTTAATTTCTTTATTCCAAATATTCTCCCCAATTATCCACAATCTAGAAAGAAAAGAAGAGAAAAGAAGAAGGAGGATCAATTAATTATGACATAAGGAATGTTGATTATCCCAACACACTTCCAGGTGAAAAACATTTCTGCTACTCTAAAAAATCGATTTTATATTGTCTCAATTAAATATTAATAATTTAAATATTGTATTAAGAATCTTAGGGACACAACACTTGGAATGCTCCACAACTGCTCAGCTTTGCTACTTGAAGGACTTTCACACCCAGGGAACTGAGTGGTCCCAGATATAAACACCACATTTGATAGAAATCTGATATAAATTTGATATTGTTTGCTACTAAGATTTTCTAAAAGCTATGTAGTCAAGGCTGGAAATCCTTGCTGAGGCTTTTCCATGACACATCTGGATTTAGCCTGGGGAAAATCCCACTCCAAGGACCTGGCTTTAA